ACGGTCTGCGGGCACACCTTCCATACGAAAAGAGCGTTGCTGGCACATCAGCGCTTTGCGAAGGGCGGGGGGCACTCGTGCAGATCTCGCGTGCACACCATCATCGTTACTAACGAGTGCATATTCTGCCGTCAAACCTTTCGAACTCGTCGGATCGCCCAAGAGCACGCGGTGCAGGCTGTACTTCGAGGTCGGTGTCCTCCGCATGTTACGCCCTTCAATCATCCCGTTCAGGCACCTGATAGCCTCTGCTGCCCCCTCGCAGATCTGACTCGTGGGATGCACTTCGGAGGTCATGATTCATTTGCGCACGAGTACTGCTGCCATCGTTCGGAGCCGTTTGAGGATCGAGAGCAACTTAATCGCCATCTTTGTCGGCACTCTCCACGCGTTCCACTTACTCAGCGGGAGCCTGATGTACCGCCTGGGGACGGAGGCGCTCGAGGCGGCGGCCCACCGCTCTCGCTCGCACGGCGGTCAGCCAGGGGTGCGCAGGGGCCGTTCTGGCTCGGCAGCGCACGGTTCCCGCTCGCGTGGAGGCGCCAGGCGCCAGCAGCGCAGCGTGGCGCCTGCTGGAGAGGGCCCCCCTCGGGCCGCGCAGCCCGCGAGGCTCCCGGCTGCGGCGGCGGCGAGCAGCGGCCGCGGCGGCCTCGGCAGGCGCGGCCAAGCAGGAGCTGCGAGGGCAGGGGGAGCACGCGACGACGCTCGCATGCAGGTGGGCAAGACGTACGGGTTGCCCGCCGACGCTCTCGAGAGGCTGCCCGCCATGGACGCCAACCTCTGCGCTCGCCTGATGCCCGTGATCATGCGGGCCGTGCTGGGCAACTCTTTCAACCTGAGGATGCTGATGGCGGCGGAGTTCGTTACGATGACGATGGACGAGCAGGATGCGGTGATCCAGAGTGCCTTCCAGGCGGGCCGCGCGTACGCCACGGAGGCGACCAGGATGAGGGACGAGTACAACCAGGACCCGCAGTCCAAGCAGTTGCCAGAGATCATCATGGGTCCAGCGTGTGTGCAGGTCTTCTTGGTAGTAGCTCGGAAGGTGTCAGAGATGGGCGACAAAGTGGGCATGGTCAACGCCAAGAGCTGGAAGGAGCAGCAGGAGCGCCTCGACAGCTTCACTGCGATGGAGGATCTCACGATGTTGGTCAAGGGCTTCCGCGTGAGCTCGGCGTACAAGGAGGGGACGGCGAAAGTGGTCTTCAGCCTGGCCGACTCGCACATGCAGATGGCGCTGCAGAACTGTCTGATCCAAATGGGGGCCGTTCTCAAGCCAGGCATGGCACCGAGATCGCACACGGAACGGGTGTTGCAGCTGGCGCTCGACGAGTTCGACCTGTAGGTGTCAGAACGCAGCTGGCCGCCTGCTCCTCGAGGGCGGACCAGATCAATACGTTGCCACGCACTGCTGGACGCTCTGGCGTTAGATCGGGACGCAGTGGTGTTAGAACGCGACTGTCCCAGGATCCTGGGCGGACGGCTTCCGTCGAGGACCCTTGGGTTCTCCAAGGCGAGGGCCGCACTGAGGCTCGCCGTCCTCCTAGGACCCTGCGGGTGGCTCAAACCCTGGACGGCTGCGCCTCGAGGCCGCTCCAGGTTCGTTCGTCGTCACGCATCGCTGGATCCGCTGAAGAACTGGAGCAGGATGATGAGGGCATCGTGCCGAGTTCTTTCTCTCCTAGACGATACGGTGAGGGCACCGTTCGGTATCTACTGGCTGCTGCTACCAGGACGCTGCCGAAGGCCAGCTCTTGTACGCAGATGGCCAGTACGGGGACCCCGATGACCTGCACAGGATCGCAGTTGGCCAGGGTGAGTTCGTTGAGTGCTACTCCTTGTGCGACGGTTGCCACTAGGGCTTCGAGTACCACCAGTTCTAGATTGCAGATGCCACTGAGGGGGAGTTCCGCGACGGCGAGGGTGGCGGCCTCTAGGTCTACTGAGGACTCTGGAGCCCTGACCGCCCTGAAGGAGGCCCGTGCCGCCGCTGCCGCTGATTGTCCTCCCCCTCCTCCTCCTCCGAGGCCTTCCTTACCTGCTCCCTCCTTCAAGGACCTCGTGGCTTATGCCACTCGTTGTTAGCTTCTGGTTTTTTTTCCCTGGGTCTGGATCCCTGGACCGTGTCTTGTGTGAAAATTCGCTCTGTCTGCTCGCCGTGAACCGCGGTCGAGCGAAGACAATTCGGGGCTCCCGCCTGTCTGGGGGGGGGGGGGCGTCGTTCAATCGCAGTCGCTTGCGCACGATAGGTCGCACATTGCAGAATATGTGGTCGCATGCTGCTCTGTGGTCACTCAGACATTCGACCCGAGATCGTTCCACCACCACCACCACCACCACCTCCTCCTCCTCCTCCTCCTCCTCCTCCTCCTCATCCTTCTCGTCCCACCCTCCCTCCCGCCCGCCCTCTCCCTTTCCCCATCCCTGCTTCTCCCCCAATTCATCCTATTATGTATTCACTCTGCCTGCCTCGCCCCATCCTCTACCTCCGTCCTTCACCGTCCTCCTCCTCCTCCTCCTCTTCCTCCTCCTCCTCTTCATCATCATCATCATCCTCCTCATCATCATCATCAGCAGCATCACCACCACCACCATCATCATCACCATCAGCCATCATCATGAGCATCATCATCAGCAGCATCAGCATCATCATCATCACCAATATCAGACATCATCATCACCATCACCATCACCATCACCATCACCATCACCATCACCATTACAACCATCTTCGTCAGCATCACCGTCATCAGTGGCATCATCACCATCACCATCACCATCATCATCACCATCATCATCATCAGCATCACCATCCTCATCAACATCAGCAACAGTATCATCACCACCATCATCAGCATCATCATCAGCAGCAGCATCATCATCAGCAGCATCATCTCCATCATCAGCATCATCAGCATCATCATCCACCTCCCCCTCCTACAGCGCACCCTCCCTCTGCCATCCCTGCCTCTTCTTCATACTGCCAATCCTCTCTCATTCTCCTCCTCCTCCTCCTCCGAGTAGTTGTGGTGACATTCCTTGGAACTAACTGGGGCCAGCAGTATCTGCAGGCAAAGGCAGCTGCCCTTTGAACACGCAGGCCCTGAATGCTGTGAATCATGGCTACAGGCCTCCTTCCATGTTCTCCTCCTCCTCCGTCTCCTCCTCCATCTCTCTTCTCCTCCTCCTCCTCCTTCTCCCCCTCTCTCTCTTTTTTTTCTCTCTCTCTCTCTCTCTCTCTCTCTATCCCTCCTCCTCCTCCTCCTCCTCTCCTCCTTCCCCTCCTCCTCCTCCTCCTTCCCCTCCTCCTCCTCCTCCTCCTCCTCCTCCCACCCTCCCTCCTCCATCTCATCCACACCCACACCATCCTCCATCTCCCATCCTCTGCCCTCCATCCGCCCAGGAGAAGGAGCTCAAGACGGCCCCAAGACGGCCCGAGATGGTCTCAGAGGTCCCTCTAAGTCTGCCCAGAGTTGGCCAAGGCAGCCGCAAGACGGCCCAAAAGAGTTTCATAGGAGTTCCTCAGCAAGTTCAAACGGAAGGTGGTGTGACACATGAAGGCCTTTGGTGTTCGAAGCTCTGGCACCCAACGGGATGAGCTTTCAAGGTGGCGGGACTTGCCGCCAGCACCTGGATAGTATGAATCGTTGGTGAAATCCTCGTTTTCCTCCTCCGCCTTCTCCTCCTCCTCCTCCGCCCCCTCCTCCGTCCATTTCCATGTGCTCCTCCTTCTCCTCATCCCCCTCCTCCTCCTTCTCCTCCTCATCTTCCTTCTCCCCCATCCTCCTCCTCCACATCATCCATCCTCCGTCCTTCATCCTCCACCCTCCGTCATCCTCCTCAGCCAGTCTCCATCCTGCTCCCCCCATTCTCCTCCCCCCTCCTCTTTTTCCTCCATCCCTTGTCTTTGCAAATGACTCCGTCCTGTCGCACCCCTAGACATGTCGGTAGGGCGACCGGGCGTTTCGCTTCAGACTTCCTCAAGATGCATAATCCCGAAGCTTGAGATCACAGCTGGAGGGCGGGTGGTTTACAACATGTGGCTCTCGCCCTAGCGCCGCGTGCATTTGTCCTAAGTCTGGAACAATTTCACAGATGGAGGGCGGACCGTGATCAAAATCTAGCTCTCGCCTTCGCGCCGCTCACATTCGTCTTCAACATTGGCAACAATTTCACAGATGGAGGGCGGGCGGTTTTCAACATGTGGCTGTCACCTTAGCGCCGCGTACCTTATATTCAAAAGTTTGCAGAGGCTTCAAGGGTGGAGAGCGGTTCATTTTCAAAATGTGGCCCTCGCCTCAGCGCCACGCACATATTCGCCTTCAGAATTTGCAACTGTTTGAAGGATGCGTATGGCTGAAGTCCCAGGATCGGAGTTCTGGCACGAGTGAGGATTGCCACGACGCAGCAGTCACGTTGACTGGGAGTGCTGATGTCCCAAGAGCGGTGTCCGGACAGGATTTAGGATTGTCAGGTCATAACAGGCATGTTGACTCGAGGCAGTGAAGTCCCAGGAATGGCGCTTTGGCGCGATTGAGGCATATCAGACGGTTGTCTTCATATAGGGCGCTTCCCGCAATGAGAAAACTCTTGTATCGGCCCACGAGGAGAGAACTTGGAGGGAGGGTTCATTGCAAAACATCGGTGGTGCGTCTTGGGTTTACACTGGTCCTCCTCCTTCTCCTCCTTCTCCTCCTCCTTCTCCTCCTCCTCTTCCTTCTCCTCCTCCTCTTCCTCCTCCCCCTCCTCCTCCTCCTCTTCCTCCTCCTCCTCCCAATCCTCCATCCGGCCCTCCATCTCCATTCTCCTTTCTCCACCCTCAATCCGTCCAAGAGAGGCTTAAGACTGCCCAGGGGAGCCCCAGAACTGACCAAGAGGGCCCCAAGGGAACAAGGGGCAGCCCCGAGGGTAGGCCCAGAAGTCCCCCCAAGGGTGGGCCCCGAAGAGCTCGCCGGGGCGGGGGCGGCCACAGGGCGGGCGGAGGGATGCGCGGGCGGCGCCGAGGCATACGCAGGGTTCACGGACGCCTTGGCCGAGTCGGGGCCCTCCGCCTCCGCCTTCTTTACCCTGTCCTTCGGGGGGAGTGCGCGCACGCGGCGGACCCTGCCGCCGCGGCTGCTGCCGCTCCTCCCGCTGCTGCGGCTGCTCCTGCTGTCGCAGCTGATGCTCCTCCAGCTCCTCCACCTCCTCCTCTTTCTCCTCCTGCCCCTGCTCCTCCTCCTCCTCCTCCTCTTCCTCCTCCTCCTGCTCCTTTTCCTCCTTCTCGTTCTTCTCCTCCTCCTCCTCCTCCTCCTCCTCCTCAACTGCCACTTCCTCTTCCTCCTCATCCTCTTCCTCATCCTCCTCCTCATCCGCCTCCGGCCACAGACTTAACCCGACGGTGAGATGTGTGTTCGACGTGCGGCTCCCAAAGGTTCCAGACCCCTTCTCTGAGGCAACGGTCCGTCCCCGACTGGAACCGTTGCTTGATGGCCCCCGGGGCCCGAGAACGGGTTCCAAGGGAGCCGAAGACGAGGAGCAGCGCGGGGAGTCACAACGAAAGCAAAGAGTCGTCGGAGAACTGAGGCTGCCGCCGCCGCTGCCCAGGAGGAGCTTCCCTGGAGGCGCAGCGCTGCCGCCGCCGCCGCCGCCGCCGCCGTCGTCGTCGTCGTCGTCGTCGTCGTCGTCGTCGTCCTCGTCGCCGTCGTCGTCGTCGTCGTCGTCGTCACCGTCGTCGTCGTCACCTGCGTGATCGTTGTGGTCGGCGCGTGCCCACACGCCGCCCGTCGGCAGCGGGCTCGGCGCAGGCCCGGTCCGAGGCGCGAGCTCGACCGTGGACCAGCCAGCAGCTCGGCCAGCAGCTCCTGATCCTCTTGTTCTTACGCTGTCCGCAGCGAAGCTGAACGAAGCGATCGCCACGTCTGAGCGCTCGTGCCGAAAAGAGGCCGTACACGCGTGAACACGCGCTCGTCCTTATCTTGCGGCTCGTCTTCCTCCTCCAGCTTCTCCTCCTCCTCCTCCTCCTCCTCCTCCTACTCATACTAGTACGACGACGACGACGACGACTACTACTATTACTACTACTACTACTACTACTACTACTACTACTACTACTACTACTACTACTACTACTACTACTACTACTACTACTACTACTACTACTACTACTACTACTACTACTACTACTACTACTACTACGACTACTACTACTACTACTACTACTACTACTACTACTACTACTACTACTACTACTACTACTACTACTACTACTACTCCTACTACTACCACTACTACTACTGCTCATACTACTACTGCTACTACTACGACGACTACTACTACTACCACTACCACTACCACTACACAACTACCACTACCACTACCACTACCACTACTACTAACGCTACTACTACTACTACTGCTGCTACTACTACTACTACTACTACTCTGACTACTACTACTACTACTACTACTACTACTACTACTACCACTACTACTACCACTACTACTACTACAACAACTACTACTACTACTAATACTACTACTACTACTACTACTGCGGACACGTGCACCACATCACCACGGCTCAACCGCCTTGGGATGAGCGTCCTTGTGGCTGCCTACTACTACTACTACTACTACTACTACTACAACAACTACTACGGCTACCCTACTACTACTACTACTACTACTACAACTACTACTACTACTACTACTACTACTACTACTATTACTACTACTACTACGACTACTACTACTACTACTCTTACTACTACTACTACTACTACCACTACTAAAATTATTACTACTACTACTACTGCTACTACTACTCTTACTACTACGACTACTACTACTACTACTACTCCTACTACGACCTCCTACTACTACCACTACTACTACTACTACCACTACTACTACTACTACTACTACTACTACTACTACTAGTACTACTACTACTACTACTACTACTACTACTACTACCACGACGGCTACGACGACTACTACTACTACTACTGCTACTACATCAACTACTGCAACTACAACTACAACTACAACAACTACTACTACCACTACCCCTACTACTCCTACTCCTACTACTTATACTACTACTACTACTACTACTACTACTACTACTACTACTACTACTCCTACTCCTTCTGCTATTATTTCTACTACTTCTACAACTACTTGTGCTACTTCTACTCGTCGCTGTCATCTTCACAGCCACCACCATCATCATCAACACGATCGTCAATATCATCACCGTCACACCATCCTGACCATCAGCATCATCATCACCATGATCACCATCAACAGAAGCACCATCATCATCGACATCACCTCAGCCATCATGAATATCATGAGCAGCATCATCATCATCACAATCATCCTCGTCAGCATCATCATCATCATCATGATCACCATCCTCGTCAGCATCAACAACAGCAACATCAACAGCATCAGCAGCATCAGTATCATCGAAAGGATCTTCATCATCATCCTCATCAACATCGCCGTCATAATAAATCACGCATCAAAATCAATATTACAATCATAAGAAGCAGCATCATCGTCAGCATCATCATGAGCATCATCGTCATCATCAACATCATCGTCGAAATTATCATCACAGTCAGATTCATTACCGTGCTGCTCCTTACCACCAGCATCACCATCGCCATCGTCATCGTCACCAACATCATCATCACCATGACCATGGTCATCATGCTCATCATCGTTACCCTCCTCATCATCACCACCACCATCGTCCTTTCCATGTCCACTCCTCCTCCTCCTCCTCCTCCTCCTCCTCCTCCTCCCCTCGTGCTCATCATCAGCATCATCATCATCAGCATCATCAGCAGCATCATGATGCTCACACAAGTTTCATCATCAACCGCATCAGCATCATCATCATCATCATCATCATCATCATCATCATCATCATCATCATCATTATCACCGGTACACGATGACGACCATCAACATCGACATACACAGCATTACCATCATCATCAGCATCATCACCAGCACCATCAGCATTAGCACGATCAACCTTATGATCATCATCCTCATCAGCAACATCGTCGTCATCGTCATCACCATCATCACCATCAACAACATCAACAACATGATCAGTATCGTCCTCGTCGTTATCCTTATCACCACCACCACCATCATCATACGTAACACTTATTATCACCCTCATCAAAATCAATATCGTCGTTCTCATCATCGTCGCCACCATCAACATCATCATCATCATCATCATCATCATCATCATCATCATCGTCTTCGTTATCGTCCTCGAAAACGTAATCGTCATCGCCATGCCCAGTCCGTTCTCCGCCTGCTTCGCCCCCTCGTCGATCTTCGTCATCCGCCTCCTCCTACTTCTGCCCCCCCCCCCTGCTCCTTGTCCTTCTCTCCCTCCTCCTCCTCCTTCTCCTTCTCCTTCTCCTCCTCCTCCTCATCTCCCTCCATCTGCCCTTTCTCGCCTCGTCCTACTGCGCATCCCTCCTCCTTCTCCTCCTCCTTCTCCGTGCTCCTCGTCCTCCTCCCCCTGTATTGCCACTCGCCTCGTGGCTCGTTGAACCCCCGCCACTCCCTCCCCAACACCTCTTTTCTGGAGCTCTCACCGACCGCGAGTTCGAAGCAAGTCCAGCCGTGTGGCGGCGCACATCGAAAACATACTTTATCCTACCCCACCCCCCCCTTCCAAAAAATCGGACCCCGGTTCCCTCCAGGGGCACATCCTGGCTGGTGTGTCGTCCACTAATCCAGTGCTGATGGCCCGAAAGAGCCACTCAGGGCGGCGATATCAAGTGAACAACTCCAACGCGATGTGCCCGACCCTTCTCCTCCTCATCGTCCTCCCTCCTCCTCCTCCTCCTCATCATCACCGGCATCACAATGTCATCATCATCTCCCCCAACTCACCCCTCTCCACCCAGTCCTCATTATCCTCCTCCTCCTCCTCCTCTTCCTTCTCCTCCGCCTCCTCCCCCTTACTCCTCCTCCTCCTGCTCATCGTGAGCAGAAACAGATTCGTCACCATCGTCAGTATCATCAGGGGCATTATCATTTGCATCACAATCTCCATCACCACCGATCACAATCATAGTCGTCATCATGGTAGTCATCATCGTAATCATCATCATCACCATTATCATCATCATCACCATCATTATTATCAGCAGCATCATCATCATAATCATCATCCTCGCCAGCAGCGTCATCATCGTCACCATCACCAATACCATCTCCATCATCATCATCATCATCATCATCATCATCATCATCATCAGCAGCATCGTAATCACCAACAGCATCAGCATCACCGTTCTTATCACCATCACAGGCAACATGATCAGATTCATCATCACCAGCATCGCCAACATCATCATCATGAACATCATCATGTACATCTTCACCGCCACCGACAACGTCCGCGTCACTATCATCATCGTTGCCATTATCAAAATACTCATCATTTTCACCCGTGGAATAATTACCATATTCGGCAGCATCGTCCTCATCGGCATTGTCATCAGCATCACCCGCATCCTCATCATCATCATCATCATCAACATCATTTTTTCAATCAGCATCATCATCACAATTACCATCACCGGAAAATCAAGATCATCATCATCAACAGCAGAAGTGTCAGCATCTGCATGATCATCACCACCTCGTGCTGGTCCTCCTCCTCCTCATCCTTCTCATCGTCCTCCTCCTCCTCCTCCTCAGCATCATCATCACCATCACCATCGCCATCAGCATCACCATCATCATCGTCGTCATCAGCATCATCATGACCACCATTAGCATCATTATCGTCGTCGTCATCATCACAACCACCATCATCATCATCAGCATCATCATGATTATCGCTAGCGTCTCCTCCTTTCACTGATACCCTCATCCTCATCCTCACCCCCCTGAGAAGGAAGAGGATGCGGATGGGGTCAGCATCGTCCTCAGCGTACTGGTTGCAAACGCGGCGGAGGAAGAGGAAGAAACGGAAACGGAGGAAGAGAAATAGCAGGCTGACCTCACCAAAACGTTTGCATGAGTAAGCCATAGCAGGAAGAGAGGGACGATTAGGCAAAGAAAACTAGGGACAATAATCCCTGGATCCACACATCCTACCATGGACCAACCCCCTTCTTGGCCACTCGAAGAGGTGGTCTCCTTTTCCCTTCCCACTCCTATCATCCTTCTGTTGCTCCTCTCGGAGGACGACGACACACTGCTCAAGGTAACCTGGAGGGGTGCACGCGTCGAAAGAGGCGACGCTGACCGGCTCCTTCCACTCCTTCATCTCGGCCTGCATGTTGGATCGAGTCTGCTTCTTGTTCACAGTGTCCTTACTCACCGCTCCTGATCCTGCTCCTGGTCCTGCTCCGTCTCCGTCTCCCTCCTCCTCCTCTTCGTCTGCCTCCTCCTTTTCGTCATCTCCATCCTCCTCGCTCTCCCCCTCTTCCTCCAAAGTGAGCGTTTTCTGATTCGGCGTTTCGACATTGGGCGGAAGTGAGGAGGAGAGAAGGGGGGGTCTGGCTCTGGACGTCTGCTGAATGCGACTGTTTTCAACAGTGCGTCCTATGGGGGAGACTCCATCTGCTGGAAACAGGCGCCAAAAACAGCCAAGATCTACTCCATGTTGGGGGGGAAGGGGGGGGGTGCGAGGGCCCGCGCCGATCGGCAAAACAATGAATAAACCAACGCTCACCAACTCATCGTCACTCTCATCCTCTCATCATGTTCCTCATGATGCCCCTTCTTCTGCGGCTTATCCTCCTCGTGCTCCGGCTGACGCCGGCTGCCGTTCAAGTAGACCCCCGCAATTCTCCGCGAACCCAGGGAGGCACAAACCGCCTCCTCCTTCTCGTCTATTCTTACTCGTCTGTCCACGCATTAGATCGACAAGACGGATGGGGAAGTCAGAAGCAAAGTTAGAGAAGGACGGCCACGGAGCAAGGGAGGAGAAGAGAGAAGCAAGGGGCATTGTCCTAGGGCTGAGGCAAAAGAACTCGCCTCTGCTGGCACACTAGAGCTGAGGCCGAGGACAAAGGAGAGGACAGAGCAGGATGAGCAGCAGGAGGAGGAGGAGCTGGAGGCAGCCCATGTTACCTTGACATCTCGGGAATCCTCCTCCTCCTCCTCCTTCTCCGCCTGCTCCTGCTCCTCATGCTCCTCCTCCTCCTCCTCCTGCTCCTCCTCCTCCTCCTGCTCCTCCTCCTGCTGCTCCTCGTCCTCCTCCGACGACGACGCTGCGCGCGACGGCCATGAGCCGCGCCCCCCGGGCTGCAGCGGCGGTCCTTCATGATCGCTCTGGCCTCTCGAGCCGAGGAGGTCATGGTGAACAGCGTCATCATCATCATCATCATCATCATCATCATCATCATCATCATCATCATCATCAGCATCAGCATCAGCATCAGCATCAGCATCAGCATCACCATCATCATACCCATCATCATCAACATCATCAACATCATCATTCCATCAGCAACATAATCATAATCATCAGCATCATCATCATGATCATAGTCGTCATCATGGCCATCATTACCATCATCAACAGCATAACCATCAGCAGCATGATCATTAGCATCATCAGCAGCAGCATCATCATCATCCACATCATCATGATCGTCATAATCAGCATCAAAATCGTCCTCATCCCGATCATCGTCATCACCATCATCACCATCGTCCTGATCCTCGTCATCCTCATCAACATCAGCATCATCATCATCATCATCATCATCATCGTCATCAACATCCTCATAATCATCCTCATCCTCATCAACATCCGCATCATCATCCGCATCAGCATCATCACCACCATCATCATCATCATCAGCAATCGCTATCGTACTCATAATCACCATCGATATCGTCATCGCCATAGTCACCATCAGCAGAGGCACTATCATTATCACCACCGTCATCACAACCATCAACCTCACCACCATCACCATCATCAACAGCAGCATCATCACAATCATCATTATCATCAGCATTATCATCAGCATCATCATGATGATGAGCATCAGCATGCATCATCTTTCTCCTTCTGATCCTCCCTCCGCCTACTCCCGCCCCCTCATGCTCCCCCAGCACATCACCGTTCTAAATATACGCTTGCGTCTGCTCATCGTGCCTTCTCATCCTCACCATGGCCCTCATCCCTGTCCTACTTGACCCTCCTTGTCATCACCATCATCATCATCCTCACCATCACCATAAACATCATCACCATCACCAGCACCATCATCGTCATCGCATCAGCCTCATCATGATACCAGTCGCTCCTCTTCATAAGCATCACCATCGTCCTTCTCATCCCACAAGTCCTCTGTCCTCTGTCCTCCTCATCCTCCTCATCCCACAAGTCCTCTTAACATCACATTATCCTGGCAAGTCTTCTGTCCTCCTCCTCGTCGTCATCATCATCAGCATCATCATCGTAATCATCATCATCATCATCATCAGCATCATCATCATCATCATCATCATCATCATCAGCGTCGTCATCATCATCATCATCCGCCCTCCTCGCCCTCCCTCATCCTCCCCCTGCTTCCTCTCTCATCCTGTACCCCCCTTGCAACCCATTGACCCCACGAGAATGCGAAAGGGACAAGGAGAACGGCGGACCGATGAAAGAAAAATATGGCGAAGACGAAGTAATGCTGAACGTTGTTAAATGGCACGCCGCGAATCTGTCCCGACCACTCGCCTGCGTTGCCCCTCGCCTCCGCTCCTCGCTCCGCTGCCGCCGATGCCACCGCTGCCCTCACCGCTGCTGCTCCCCCGAGCACACCTCCCTGATTAGTACCATAATCATCAACATCTCCTTCCTACAAATAACGTAAAACTGCAAACATGCAAACGCGAGAGCACACTGGCACGCAAGCATGCAAGCACGGCGTGGACACGCGTGGAAGCGAGCCAACATGCAAGCGTGCCCTGTCCTCAGTGAGGGAAGATGTCCAACCACACCGTCGCGTCCTCTATCCCCATCCGGCCACATCGGCTAAAGTCATGGGGCCACTTCACGGCCTCTCGGGAAGCCTCAGTGGGCTTCGGGGGATTTCGGATGACCTCGTGGGGTTTCGCTGGACATCGGGGCACCTCGACCTCGGAGGCCTCGACGAGCTGCTGTGGCCCACTCTCCCCATGGCGCCAGAGAGGATGCAGACGGCGCTTCAATGAGAAGTCGTGAAACTTACAAGCGGGTGCCGCTGCCAAGAGCCATCGGGGGGGGATCGGGGAGGCGATGGCTCGAGGAGGAGGAGGAGGAGGGGGATCGTGGAGGAGTGGGGGCTCAAAGATGCGGCGGATCGTGGAGGGGGAGGGAGAAGGAGGAGGGGGATCCAGGATCGAGGATGATAGGGATCGATGAGGGTGAGGGTCGATGTGGAGGGGTGTCGAGGATCGATGCTCGATGAGGGGGGATTCGGGATTCTGCGAGCCAACCGATTGCCGGACCCACCGGAGTTGAGCCTGCGCCTCTCCCCATGACCCGCGCAAAGCAACCACCTCGCGGGGGCCTTATCGAGCAAATCTCGCTTGAACTCGTCGGTCATGAGCTCAGCCTTTGTCTTGAAGCCGAGCTGGGCGAGGACGTCAAAGAGGCCATTGATATCGAAGTTGGCGAGTGAATGGAAGACCTGCCCACCCTCCTCACCAACCAAAGCCATATCCTCCGCGTCCTCCTCCTCATCATCACTATCATCATCATCTCCATCATCAGTATCCTCACCGTCAGCATTATAATCATCATCAGCAGCATCATCAAGATTACCATCATGGTCCCTCTCCTGTGAACCCTCCTTCACCGTACTCCGATTCCCTTATCCTCCTCCTCAGCCCCCCTCATCGTCCACCTCCCTCCTCCTCCATGCTCCATCCTCCCTCATCTCTCCTCCGTGCTCCTGCTCCTCCTCATCCTTCTCCTTCTCACCCTCCTCCTCCTCCTCCTCCTCATCATCATCATCATCATCATCATCATAATCAGCAGCATCACCATGCACCAACATCATTATTTATCATCATCATCATCATCATCATCATCATCATCATCATCATCATCATTATCAGCATCATCATCATCAGCGTCGTCGCTATCATCGTCATCATCGTCATCAACAGCTTTACTATCATCAACGTCATCAACCGCCTCAACAGCATCAGCACCAGCAGCATCAGCAGCATCATCAGTATCATCACCGCCACCAACGTCAGCATCATTAGCAGCATCATCACAGTCACCAGCATCATCATCGCCAACATCAGCATCACCACACCATATCATCATCAACATCATTACCACCATCAACATCATCATCATCATCATCATCATCATCATCACACTTACCACCATCAACATCATCATGACGAGGAGGGCGAGGAGGGCGCGGAGGGCGCAGAGAAACCTGCGGAGGTGGAGGAGGAGGCGGCGGAGGAGGGTGTCACCCCCGGAAGGTGCTGATTTACCTTTATGTCGTGCTGCTGTTCGTCGGCCGCGGCATGTACAACGTTTTCATCAACATCATCACCGTAGTCGTCATGGACATAACCAACAACACCATAATCATCATCATACACATCACCATACCGTCATCATCATCAGCACCATCAACGCCATCAACATCATCATCGTCATCAGCATCATCATCACCGTCAACATCGTTGTCATCGCCAGCGTCGTCGTCGTCGTCGTCAGCAACGGCGTAGTCACCATCAGTCGTCAAGCCTCAGCATCAGCATCAACATCATCAGCATCGGCATCGAGATCCTCATTCTGACCATCATCATCGCCCCTCCTCCTCCTCCTCCCCCTCCTCCTCCACCAGGCGGCCGCCTCGGCTCGAGCTTTGGAGCTCGCGCCAGGCCGCCCTAGCCGCCAGCGGCCCGCGCACACGGCGGGCGCTGCTGCATCGCTGGTTCAGCACCACGACGACGCGCGCCCGTCCACCGCCTGGCACAGGCGAGAGTGGAGGGCGCGCCCACGGGCTAGGAGCCTCCTCCGCCTAGACGCGGCGAGGAGGACGCTGGCTGAGCACCACGGCGAGGCTGGCGAGCTCGTCGGCATGGGCGGAGGTGGCGCTGGCGAACCGCCTCACACGGCCCCGTGGCAGGAGGGCACATGGACATGCGCGGCCACACATGCCTGCGGCTTCGCGTCCAACTTAACCAGCAGGCAGACGTGCTGGGCGTGCGGGCGCGACCGCCAGGGCAGACCCACGAGCGGCCCAGGATCCCGCGGCAGCCGCCCAAGGTCCAGTGGCGCGCGCCCTAGCTCTCGCCCTCGTGCTGCTGCTGGTGATGAGCCTGGAGCCGCGGCCGACGGCATGGACCTTGACAGGTCAGGCGACAGCGACGTGGCCAGATGCAGGAAGGCGCTCTCTGGACTACGTCGCATATACGAGGAGCAGCACCCCATCGTGGCCATGGCACGTGATGAGCTGGCCAAGGCCGAACAGCAGGAACGAGCACACATGGCCCCAGAGGACGTTCTCCGAACTTGCACACCAGAACAACTGCAAGCGGGAGGCCGAACGCGGGGAGTCCATCGCCAGGGACCTCAAGTCGAAGCTTGACGACACGGGCACCAAGCTGGCCGTGGCGAACCAGCAGCTCGTGGCTGTCAATGCCGGGGTCGCCCAGGCCAGGCTCGCGCTGGGACCCACAACGGCCCCAAGCTTGGTGGAGGCCGCCAGCGAGGTCGCCTCCCTGCAGCAGATTCTCCAGGGCGCCGGGGACTCCACCAGCGCGGGCCAGGACCGCACCAAGGTCGGAGGGGCCTACCTGGACACCTTGGCGGACCACATCAACAGGCTGGGCGCTGCAGTTCCCCCGCAAGGAGCCGCTTTTCGCGCCGCAGGCGGGCAGCCTGCTGGCGCCAGCGCCTCGCACGCAGCAGCGGCCGCAGCAGCGCCCGCGCACCCCGCCCCAGCCGCAGCGGGTGGGGCAGCAGCAGCAGCAGGAGCCAGCTTCCCAGATGTGCCTGCCAGCTCAGACGCAGCAGCATGGGAAATCAACTAGACGCAGAGGACCACGCGGAGCACGGCGCTCGGCAACGGGAGTGATTACCTTCAACGGGTCGTGCTGGACGACATGTCAGCAGTTTTTGCTTGACGGTGCAGGGGATGCTCTCGTGGTTGCGTGCCAGGAACTCACATCAGATGGTGAAAGGTTGGGTCATGCTCGCACGTGGGCGTTGTGACACGGATGGCAGCCATTCATCAGTCAATGTCGACGCCTTGCGTCCAAGCTGCCGAGTGCAGGAGTCGGGATCTTCGTCGGGAAGCATGTGGAGACTACGTTACTTAGTCCCACGGGGATCCTGCGCTCTTGGGCGGTTGCAGTACACGTACATGTCGGGCCACCAGGAGGTATCATTGTGGGCTCAGCCTACATGAAGTCCGTCGGTGGCCACAACTACCTCAGCACGAACTATCAGAAGCTGATGCGCATCGCGGAGGCCATGTGCTACTTCTCGGCCCCGTATATCTTCGCGGCCGACTGGAACGCTGAGCCCAGCCTCCTGGAGGAGCTCGGCTTCATGCAGGTGATGCCAGCCATCGCAGTCACTCCACCGACACGTACCTGCAGGGCAGCCACCACTGGCAACTTCAGCATCATTGACTACTGGCTCGTCTCGCCCGACTTCGCGAAGGCCTGCGAGGCCCTCCGCGTTCTGGATGAGTGGGCGCCCAAGCCGCACTACCCTGCACGAATGGAGCTTGCTGCTAGGTCTCTAAGGCACCTGCAGCTACATCTTCGAGCGCCCAAGGCCTTCCCGCGGCAGCCGCCGCGCTTCGCAGGCGCCAGCCCGCTGACAGGGGCGCCGGTGCCGAAGCCATGCATTGAGGTCGCGCAGGTGGACTCCAGGAGGAGGGGCCAGCCCCAAGGCGCAGATGACGCCCAGCAGCGCCTGGACGCGATGCACGCTACGTTCACGATCTTTGTGGAGCGGGACCTCTGTCACATCTGCCAGCTGCAGGACGCGGAGCGCTACTGCGGCAGGGCAGTTCGACCTGCCTATGTCTGGCGTCCAGTCGGGGGGCCATCACTTCGACCAGGGAGGCCCGCTGCGGGCGCGGTGGCACGTTGGGTGCGCCACCTGGCCCTCGCGCTCCACGATCTGGTCCGTTCGGTCGCGCGCACAGACGACGCTCGAGCCCGATTGCCGCGGGTGACAAGGGCGCTGCGACCTGGCCACCGACAGGACATCCATGCGGACGAGGGCGTGCTGCTGTTTGAGTCGGCCTGGCGCCTGATCCACTATGCGGTCATGCAGACGAACCGCCACTTCGCCACGCTCGTCACCGCATACTACGCGGCCAGGGTCGACGACCACACGGAGCACCTGGAGAGGCAGGCTGCCAAGCGCCGCGCCATTAGCTTCCACAAGGTGGGCCCAGGACGCCATGATCACGGGCGCGTCACCAGTCTTCGGCATGACGAAGCTGAAGGGTTGGGCACACAATGCGGTGGACAGGTTTGGCATCCGCACGGCACTACCTCAGGCGGTGGCGGACAGTCAGATGGACTTCTGGAACGACATCTGGAAGGGCACCGTGATTTCGCAGAAGCCAGACCAGAGCATAGTCATCACGGACGCGCAGGATAACATCGACAAGGTCACCGCCAACGACTACGACACCGAGCATCTCATCGACATGGACGGCGAGATCCACGAGCTCATCCGCAGCCTCCCGAGGGATGCCCTCCCTGCCCCTACGATCAGTGAGGTGCGAGCGGCCGCGGAGACGTTTGCTTGGAAGGCGGGCCTGGGCGTGGATGCCATGCCCCCTCGCGCCTACTCCATCCTGTCCGACGGACGAGGCGCTTGCCATGCTGCTATACATCCTGTGGGCTCCGGAGGCGTGGGGGCGTTGGCCATCCTCCATCATGGCTGCGCACGTGATGCTCCTCATGAAGGCACAGGGCGGGTTCCGCCCACTTGCCCTGCTCCCCCCCATCGGCAGGGTCTATACCAAGGTGCGCATAGGCCACATTACACGATGGATGGCCGCCCATGAGAGGCCCCACTTCGCGTTGGGAGCTGGAAAATCGACCATTGATGTGGGGGCTCGCACCATGGTGTGCGCCGAAGCGACGGATGCCACAGACGGCGACGCCGTCATCGCAACGCCGGTGAACATCAGCAAGTGCTTCGATAGGGTCACGTGGATCAAGATCATCCGCGCGGCCCAGCATCACGGCTTCCCGACGGACATCCCCAGGGCGGTGCTCTCCATGTACATGGCACCCAGAAGGATTCGTCGGGGGGCGACCTGCTCATGCGCAGTGCGCACCGTGGCGGGAGCTCTGCCTGGCTGCACGGTAGCGATGTGCCTTTTCCAGCTGACCATGATGATGTCATTCGATGTCTTCAGCGCCTCGCTGCATGGCCTCAAGATCACTCTGGACATCTACGTGGGCGACATCACGCTGCAGATCATGTCCCACTCGACCGAGGTGGTAGAGCTGGCGACCCCTGTCGTCGCGAGGCTAGTCGCGGTCTCGGGGGCGTCGGAGCTCCCGATTGCCAGGGACAAAGCCACGATCCTGGGCTCCTCGCTGTGGCTCTACGCATTCGGCTTCGAGGCGGCGTGGCAGCTCACTGGCTTGGGACTGGAATGTCGCGCGGGCGCTCGACTCGCATGCTCGGCGACCCGCAGGAGGGTGCGAAAGGTGAAGGGGCGCCTCCCCAGGTTTCGGAAGCTCCGAGGACTGGCGCGGGTCGACCGAAGAGCTGCGCGCCCCGCACTGGCACCAAGCATGGCGCACGGAATCCACGCGGCCGGAGCCCCGCCGTCACTGCTGGCCACGATGGCGAACGCGGTGCGTACAGGCTGGGCCAAGACCCCAACGGCATCGTCGACGTGGTTGGCATCGGCCCCGCGGGAGCGGTGCAGCTACTCCTTCGACAACTCGGATGGAGAGCTCACTCGGCGACGCGATGGACCACGGGGAACGGCATGAATATTGACTTGCTTGACACGTCGCCGAGTTGGGTGCGCGTCGTGGCAGGGCGCAGCTATCGCAACGTGATATGGGAAGACTAGTGCAACAAGCGAGAGCATGCACCCGAGCTTCCCCCTGCTCCTCGGGACCCGCGGGGCTACTGGATCGAACCGATCGCGGCCATGCTCCACGCCAACCCTGAGGCCTCCAACTGGAACCTGAGCATGCGAGCGAAGGGGAGCCCAAAGCTCGACGGACATCGGGGCCCAGTGGACGCAGCAGAGGCTCTATTCTGTCGGCTACGTAGACGACCCAAACTGCACCTTTTGTCAGGACTGCCGTGGACACCTTCACCATGGGATCTGGTCCTACCCGAACCTGATCGACATGCGCCCCCCAACGGCCTCTTCTACACGAGAGGCCTCTTGCCACGAGCGGCGCTCCCCGAGCTGCCGCCACTGGTGGACGCACGACACAGTCCTGGCACTACTGCATGGGCGGCAGGGGCATGACGATCACGGGGGAAATCTACACAGACGGCTCAGCCAAGTGCCCACTGCACTGGCCCGAGGCGAGCCGGGCGGGTTGGGACATCGCGGCGATGACTGGCAGGAGGCTGCAGGGCATGGCACGCGGACCATTTTCAGGCCCGCAACAGACAGCACAGAGGGGGGAGCTATATGCGATGATCTAGGCGATGAAGCACGGCCAGCTTCCCATGCACATCAAGACGGACTGCTTGGGAATCATAAAGGGCCTTGAGCAACGGAGGCGCCACGCCGCGCACCCGCGGAGGGACCACGCGGACTTGTGACGCCAGCTGTGGCACGCCTTGGAGGACCAAGGCGGACTCGGGGGGGACCTTGCAGCCAGCTGGGCCAAGGGCCGCCAGACCTCTCTCGAGTCAGGAGGGTCGCCCGAGAAGCTCGGCAACGACTACGCAGACCTGGCGGCCAAGAAAGGCACGGCGATCCACGGAGTGCCTGGCATCGTGCACGGGCGCCCTGCCGAGCTCCTGGCCGAGGTGCGGCAGGTGGCTGCCTGGGTCGGATCCAGCCAGGCCAATTTAAAGGGAAATTAGGACACACAAATAAATGCACACAAATAAAAATAGTCCCCATATTTTCCTATATTTTCTGCGTTTTTGTCTTCCCCCCCAATTCCCATATTTTCCCATATTTTCCTGGGAATCGAGGATTAATTGTGTCTGTGTGTTTTTTTCCCTCCTGACAATTTGGAGGCAAGACCAGCGGACAGGGCGCATGCCCTGGGGCGCCGCGGCCGAGCGGCCAGCGGGCGCGGCGCGGACAGGACGGGCGCCAGCGGCGGCGGCGCGCGCCATGAGAAGATGAGGGATCGAGTGAGTTTGAGCAAACATGTGCCCGTTCAGTGCCAGCGAGGCTGGCAATGTGCTCACTGCCCACGGTCTGGCCGATCCCTTGCTGGCCTGGAGCGCCTCAAGCGAGGCAACTGCCAGACGCGATCCGGCCTGGCCCGAGGTCCTGGGGGGCCCGAGGCCCTGGGGCCGGGGGAGCGTCCGAGGGAAGGAGACCTGGAGACTAAGCGGGTCGCCAGATCCCCTGGCCTGGAGGCGGCGGCCCCTGGTGGGCACAGCGAGCTGCCCAGGACCGAACCGCTGGCGGGCTCCCAGGTCTGACGACGACGAAATGCAGGGAGCGGGGAGGTCGTTGAGTCGCCGTCTGGAGGACGTCGACTGACAGGAGGAGCAGGGGCAGGAGGACAGGTCTCACAGGGTCAAGCCTCGGGTCACCCTCCCCCCCTCGGCCTCGAGCCTGTCGGGTTCCCCTCCTCCTCTGGTGTTCCCTAGTCCTGAAGCTGAGGTGCCGAGTCGTCTGGCCGACCCCCCGCCCTGTCCCACTGTTGCCATCGGCGTTGGTCTCCTCACCAGTCCTGCTCCTCCTCCTCCTGCGAGGGATGTGAAGGATCAACCGCGCTTCGTGCCTCGCAAAAGGGTGCGGTTTTCGGAGGCCCCGTGCAACTCAGTCGGCCCCCAAGAGGCCGTGGCTGACGCCGTGATTGAGGCGGCCTCGAGGGGTGTGAAGCGAGCGGCTAGAGGCACCCCGCCGTCTCTTGCGGATGCGGACCCCCCCCAGGAGCTTCTGCCGAGGGCTCGAGAGGTCCCGCCAAGCGCGTGCGGACGCCAAGCGCGGCGCGAGGGCATATCCTGTATATGTCTAAGGACATTGTGGGCAGTAGTAAATGCGGGGCGTTCTGGGCCAGAGCGGCTCGCACTCAGCTATTCTGGACATGTGACCCCGGGGCTGCCCTAGAAGGGAATCCTCAACGTAAATGGAGGCGGGATAGCTTTATGAAGGGCGTCCACCCCAAAGGTGGCAAGGCCCCGCCACTCCCCCTCCCACGCAAGCTCCTGGTCACTGACGACGCGGTTCAGTGGCTAGGCCTGTTCTCCATATAATGCATATCTTCCGGGTTTTCTCGAAACTCGTTTCTGGCCCTGGGACTCTCGTCACTGCCGTGATGCTTCGGCTGGGCTTACAGTGCCCTGGGGGCCACTTTCGTTTTATGCTCGATTGCGTTCGCTTTCCTTTTTCCACGTGTCCTTTTATTCGTCCCGGAGCTAACTCGGCGCGTCGTCCTATGGGCTCGCGGCTCCTCCTCCTCCTCCTCCTCCTCCTCCTCCTCCTCCTCCTCCTCCTCCTTCTCTCCCTCGTTGTCTTCCTCACTCTCCTTCTCTTCCTCCTCCTCACCCTCCTCTGTCATATTTCCTCCTCTCTCCCCCTCTATAGTTATCTCTCCTCCTCTCTCCACATCTCTCATGTTTCCGCCTCTCGCTTCGCGTTCTTCCTCTCGTTTCATCTCTTGTCCTCTCTCCACCTCCCTCCTCTTTTCTCCTCCTCCGTCCTCCTCGCTCAACGGTGTTCATTATCTCTTCTTCTATCTCCTCCTCCTCCTCCTCCTCCTCCTCCTCCTCCTCCTCCTCCTCCTGGCTGCTGAAGAGGGAGAGGACAGAGGCGGGCCAGCAGCAGGGGCAGGGGGAGAGGAGCAGCGCGGTGTCCACACAGGCCGGCTCGCGCACCCGAGCCGGCGCGGCGCCCGGACGACAGAGGGGCGCGCCCTGTCGACGGCCTGTGGCATCTGGGCCACCGGGGGGGTGGGAGAGGCGGAGGGGGGGCGGAGGAAGGAGGGGGCGGGGAGGGGGAAAAGGGAGGATGCGGACCATCCGGCCTCAGCGCCGGGCCCGCCGACCCTGCCGGGCAAGCGGGGGCCGGTGCCGTTTCTGAAGTGTACGCCCCGCTTAATTAATCACCGCGCCCCCCCGGGCAGGCAGACGGGGACGAGAAACGACCAGACGGAGGACGGGGACGGGCGAGAGGAGCGAGAGAGGCCACGAAGCCAGGAGAAACAGGAGAGCACGAGGAGGGAGGGACGAGGGACACAGGACAAGGAGGAGGGAGAGCAGGCAAGCGGCGCAGAGAGCAGAGGGAGGGGGGCGCGGGGGTGAAGTTAATTGATAAACACTGCTGGGAAGGGGCTCAGCGGCGGGCCCGGCCGCGGCCCACCCCCTGGGCAGGGGATTGCCAAGGCCTCCCGCGCGGGCCGGCGCTGCTGAGCAGCATCGCCGCCGTGCCGCGCGCGACGGCCACGACCACGCGCTGCCTCGCGTCGACGAGGGCCGCGGCCCTGGTCTCCGGGTCCGCCGGGGCGTGCTCGCGGAGGAACGAGTCGAACTCGCGCCCCAGGCAGCCGCCGCTCTCCACCACCGCGGCCACCAGGCCAGGGCCGGGGTAGCGGGAGTGCTTCTCCTGCTCCCGCTCCCGGGCCGCTGCGCCGGCGACGCGGGCGCGCCGGCGTGCGGTCGCGCCCTCGGCGGCGATGGCCTCAGTCACGCTCGTGTCGATGCACGCGCTCCCGCCTGGGTACGCCAGGACCACGTCGAGGACGGCTGCTTGGGTGCCCCCCGCGGTCACTGCGTCCCAGGCCAGGATGCGCTGCTCGATCGTCACGGACTGGGTGCCATGCATGGCGCTCCGCCAGCCAATCGCCCAGCTGGTCGCGGACGCCGTGGTGCCAGCGTACGAAGCCAGGCCCGACATGGCAGACGGCTGCGTGCCTGGCGTGGGGCCCCGCCGTGCTGGCCCCGCACTGCGCGCCCGTGCTCACTCCTCCTCCTCGTCCTCCTCCTCCTCCCCCTCCTCCTCCTCCTCCTCCTCCTCACGTCCCCTTCTCCTCCTCCTCCTCCTCCTTTTCCTCCTGCTCCTCCTGCTCCTCCTGCTCCTCCTGCTTCTCCTTCTTCTACTCCTCCTCCTCCTCCCCTACGACTACCCTGAAGGGTATTTGCACCACACAGGAATAATCCTCTCTCATATTTCCTCTCTTCTTCTTCCTCTCTCATCCACCCTCTCTCCTCCCTGCGATTACTCAATATGAATACTACTCTACTCTCTCCCCTGAGGCTGTGGCGCAATCAGTCTCGGAGTGTTCGCCCCCCCCTCGCGTGCACAGGATGTCGGTGAGTCGGGTTGTCGCTGGTGTTTTCCCAAAATAATGCTGCTCTCGCTGAGGCGCTGGCTTCATTTTCGGGCTTCCGCTCGTTCCGAATCGTGCTCCCACTGCAACGCTGGCTTCATTTCCGCGCTTCGGCTCATTCCGAATCGTGCTCCCGCTGCAGCGCTGGCTTCACTTTCGGGCTTCCGCTTGATCCGAAAAGTGCTCTGGCTGTAGCGCTGGCTTCACTTCCGCGCTTCCACTCGTTCCGAATCGTGCTCCCGCAGTAGCGCTGGCCTCATTTCCGCGCTTCCGCTCGTTCCGAACCGTGCTCCCGCTGCAGCGCTAGCGTCATTATTTCCAGTGCCATGCCACGGCATGGTTTTCGATTCTTCCAAATAAGCCCCAACATCTAGAACATGGCCCCGGAAAAAAACCATCGGAAGTGAATCCACATTCGGTGCCGATTCGTTGATTTTTTGGGCCGCGGAAGCCCCCCTCACTTTGGGGCGTCTCCACGCCGTGCTACTTAATGCTACTCTTTGATCTTCAACACCATGCTATACCATGTAATGCTATGCCACGCTACGCCATCCGACAGTGCGAACAGAGAGGAGATCTACGCCATGGTAACGGATGGGAGGAAGGGGTAGGACGTCAGGACGCAAGCGCACATAGCTTTATCTCTCTCCTCCCTCCTCTCTCCTCTCTGCTCCCCTTCTTCCTCCTCCTCCTCCTCATCCTCTTCCTCCGCCTCCTCCTCCTCACCCTCGTCGTGCTCCTCTTCCCCCTCCTCCTGCTCCTTCTGCTCCTCCTCCTCCTCCTGACTCCTCCCTCATCCCTCCTCCCTCATCCCTCCTGCTAACCCCCTTCTCTGCTCTCTCATCCCTCCTCTCTCCTCTCTCCCCTCTCCTCGCTCTCTCTCTCCTCTGCTCTGTCATCTCTTCTCTCTCCTCTCTCCTCTCTCTTCTCTCCTCATCCACCTCCGCTCATCTCATGATCCTGCTCCTCCTCCTCCTCCTCATCATCCTCCTCCTTCTCCTCCGCCTCCTCTTTATCCGCCTTCTCCTCCTCCGCCACCTCTTCCTCCTCCGCCTCCTCTTCCTCTTCCTCCTCTCTCCTCTCTCCTCTCTCCTCAGACCTCTCTCCTCTCTCCTCTCACCTCGCTCCGCTCCTCCCTCCACCCTGCTCCCTCCTCCTCCTCCTCCTCCTCCTCCTCCTCCTCTTCCTCCCCTCCTCCTCCTCCTCCTCCTCCTCCCTCCTCCTCTTTCATCTCTCCTCTCCCCTCCCTCCTCTCACCTCTGTCCTCTCTCCTCCCTGCTCTCTCCTCTCTCCACCATCCTCTCTCCTCTCTCCTCTCTCCTCTCTCCTCGCTCCTCCTTCGTCTCTCCTCTCCTCTCTCTCCTCTCTCCTCTCTCCTGTCTCCTATCTCCTATCTCCTCTCTCATCTCGCCTCTCTCCTCTCTCCGCACCTATCTCCTATATCCTCTCTCCTCTCTCCTCTCGCCTCCCTCCTCTCTCCTCCCACCTCTCTTCTATATCTTCTCCTCTCGCTCCTCCTCCTCCTCCTACTGCTCTTCCTCCCCCTCCTCCAGGAGTCCTCCTCTTCCACTCCTTTTCCTAATACATAACTCCTTCCTGTCTCACCCCAGAGCCGGTCGAAAGGGCGGGCTGGGCGTTTCACATGATACGTCCTCGGCAACTATGCCCCTGAAGCTGAACAAGTGCAGCAGCTTCACGGATGGAGGGTGGGTCGCTTCCCAAAACGTGGCTCTCGCCTTCGCGCTGCCCACGCGCGCGTCAAATTCGCAAACGTTCCACGGATGGAGGGCGGGCCGTTCTTAAGATGGGGTTCTCGCCGTGGCGCCGCGCACACCCGTCTTAAAGATTTGCAGGAGCTTCACGGTAGGAGGGCGGGCCGTTTTCAAAATGTGGCTCTCGCCGTGGCGCCGCACGCATCCGTCTAAAAGATTTGCCAGAGCTTCGCGGGCGGAGGGCAGGTCGCTTTCAAAATCTGGCTCTCGCCTTGGCGCTGCGCACATTCGTCTTTAACACATGTTAGCATGTTCACGGATGGAGGGCGGGCCGTTTTCAAAATGTGGTTCTCGCCTCAGCGCCGCTCACATTCGTTCCCAACAACTGCAATCGTTTTACGGATAGAGGGCAGGTCGCTTTCGGAGTGTGGCTCTCGCCTTAGCGCCGCGCACATCCGCCTTTAGTCAAGGATTCTCACTGTTAACGTCCAGAAATTGGGTTCTGGCAGGGTGTTGGACAGTAATTGGAGATTCGTGGTGTTGAAGTCCCAGGAATGTTGTTCTGGCACGGTTCAGGATCGCCGAGACGCAACAGTGACGGCGATTCAAAGCGTTGAAGTCCCAGGAATGGTATTTGGGTACAGTTCAGGATTCTCAAACGGTGTTTTCCAACGGGGCACTTCCTTCAATGAACACGAGCCCTTGTAGGGGCCTCCGAAGAGGGAACATGGAGGGAGGGTTTATTGCAACATCGTTCATCAGTCATGGGCTTACGCTGGTCCTCTTCCTCCTCCTCCTCCTCGCTCCTCCTCCTCCTCCTCCTCCTCCTCCTCCTCCTCCTCCTCCTCCTCCCCCTCCTCCTCCTCCTCCTCCTCCTCCTCCTCCTCCTCCTCCTCCTCCTCCTTCCCCCCTGTGGCGGCACGGGAAGGCGCTCCTTCAGCCGCAGAGAGCGGCACCCCACCGGGGCTACGAGGCCGCTGCTCACATCCCCGCAGAGGAGGCAGGGCCATGCCCCAGGGGCCCCCTCCCGGGCCCCAAGGGGGACCAGAGGCTTGAGACTCAAGCGGCAAGCGCCTGCAGGATGAAGTCGGGCCTGTCCCTCTACAGGAGGAAAATTCGGAAATAGTAAAAAACATGTGGGGACGATTCCTCCACTTTTGTTTTGACCATTTTGCCATATTGTTTGTTGTATTCTTGATTTTTCGTCCAAAATCCCCCTTCTAGGGGGACAGGCCCGACCATCGGACGAGTGCGTCCCAGGGCCCGACACGTGAAAACCCTCGAGTTTCGGTACTTTTTTGGTGTTCGACATTATTTCTGGTGATCTAGGCTACAGTAGGTTGGAACATGATAACTCCAGGATGAAAATCCCACCTCCGTTCCGGAGCTCACGCAAGGCAGCCCTTCGATGGACGGAGGCTCGACCAATGCCTCTGGACGTCGCCCTTCCTCCACTCGCAAGGCCCAGAGGCTCAGCAGAACGATAAGTCGAAGAGCAGCCCTTCGATGGATGGAGGCTCGGCCAATACTTCTGGACGTCTCTCTTCTTCCACTCGGAAGGCCCAGAGGCTCAGCATAATGCGAGGTCGAGGTCCGACATTTGAGGCCTCCCAGATGGGGTCGAAGCAGATGGGGTCGGAGGATCGCGCCGCATCGCCAATGCATCGGCAATGCACCAGCGATGCAATGGCGACGTCGACGTGAAACAAATCGGGCTGCACATCGAGCCGCATCGGCGATGCGTCAGCAGTGTGGCGCGATCCTCCGACACCATGTGCTCCGACCCCATCCGGGAGGCCTGGAGACATTTTTCGTGGGCGGGGAGGCCAGGGCAGTCCGCACCAGCGTGGGGCTAATCGGGGCAGCCGAAAGGCGAACTGTCCGGCGTGCAGGAGGAAGGAACGAGGGCGAAGCGGCCTGGAGACATCCGTGCTGGAAGCTTTTGCCCTCCAGAGCGCGCCTTGACCGGCATCCCGAACGGAGGCGGCCGCGGCGGCGCGGGCGACCCCCCCCGCCCCCCCCTATAAAAAAGGGGGGGCCCTCCGGCAGGAGGGGGGCGACGGCGCAGACGACCGACGGCATGACCTGTGCAGTGCGCGGCCCCATGAGGTCCCGACTCTACCCCCGGGGGCACTCGCCGACTAGGCTTGCCCGAGGGACTCACACTTGGTCGAAGATTGGTGTCTCGGGGTGCTACTACTATGCCCGTTCCCCAGAGGTTCCTCGGCTTCCTCGCAAATTCCAAGCAGCTCCAAGCAACGCCAAGCAATGTCAAGCAATGCCAGGCACTGGAAGCTTTCCTCTAACTGAGGTCGCGCCGGGCACAAGCTTTAAACGACAGCATAGGAGCAATGAGTGTGCCACGACTGTGTATGTGACCGGCGTCTAAAATGATGGGCATCTCCACGCTTCGGAGCAGGGCGCCACCCCGAGTGGCGCCGAGGCCTCGCCCGACACGGCTCCCCGTTCGGAAGGAGTTGCTATACAGCGCTGTGCTCGCCGCTGCAGTGCGGAGGCTGCCTCGTGCCTTCGGCCGAACGCTGCGCACGGTGCCCCGCCCCGTTTCTGAGCGACCGGGGGCCCGACGCCCGGGCCCAGAGGCCGAAAGCGACGAAAAACGCTAGGACTGAGACAAAACATCTTGTCGGCGACCGGCGACGGCGACAGCATCGGCGACGGCGGCGGCGGCGCCTTCGCCAGGCCCATGCGCTCGTGGTCGGAGAGCTCCCGGTAGAGCCCCCAGTCGAAGAGCACGGGCGCAGCGCCGCCGGGCGCTGGAGGCGGCGCGGCCGATCGCCGTCGACGCCGCCGCCGCCCTCGACCTCGCCGTGGTCCTCGTGTTCTCGTCGACGTCCTGCCCTCGAGCCACGAGGGTCGAGGGGGGAAATTTTCAAACGTTTTTGGCCCTTGCCGGGCCTCCGGAGGCCTCCGGGGACCCCCTCCGGGGACCTCTGGAGGGTCAAGATCCAGCCAGGGAGGGCAGGGGCAAAACTTACCACCTCGTCATCCTCGCCGTCGTCTTCCTCCTCCTGCGCCCCTGGGGCGCGCGCAGCGGGGTGGCGCCAGGGGGGGAGCTCTGAGAAGGCGGGGGTCTCGTTCTAAAGCGGGGGGGATCTTCGAAGGGCCCGGAGGTGTCTGAGGAGCCCTCTCAGAAGCATCAGGGCCGATCCAAGAAGGGCCCGAGCTTTCTAAGAAGCCCCCCATCGACTTCTAACAAGGCCGCCCCCTCCCGCCGTTGTGCGCGCCGCAAGGTCATCGTCCTCGTCGTCCGCTTCCTCGTGCTCTCCCACTCCTCCTTCTCTTCCTCCCCGTCCTCCTCCTGCTCCTTCCTCCTCGTCCTCCTCCTCCTCCTCCTCCTCC